TGTATATTAATGTGTGGTAAACATAATTTCATGGTATATGGACATCATTTCTAATTTTTCAACGAGTAGTTTTTTTAAATTTTATATTCCACCTAATTAGTTGAATAACCCTTATAAAATCTCTATTTTTTAAAGAACGAGAACACCTAAGGTATTAAACCTCTTTAATCTTCATATTATGTCAGTGCATGATGAAACTATGCATAAAAACAAAAAAAAATATCATGTTTTCTAATTTATCTCGAAATATGTGGGTTAACCGCCACAAAAAATGATTTTTTTGATAAATGTTTTTATACTATTCATCATCTTTAGTGTTGTTTAATAATATGTGGGTTTCGTTCATTACCGGCATCATTGGTTACTCCCACCCTTTTCTTTTTCTTCAAAATTGTTTTTTTTTTAAGTAACTTATATATATTTATGCATGCACTCTCTTCTCTTGTGTTCATCAGGCTCCACTCTGAGAAAGCAGCCCTTTCAGAAGAAAGGCCAAAGCGCACCCCGAAGGTTTGTTACTTTGTTGAGCCTTTTCCTCGTGTTTGACAAGGAGATGTATTTATCCCTTTTGTCTTTTCTTTTTTTTTTTTTTTTTGTAGGAAGCTGGACCTCGTTTCCAACTGTTGTTTCAAGGTGTGGACAAGGTATCACTTGACACGGGGAGTTTCAAACGTATCTGCATGGTAATTATTACACTCCAATCAATTTATACTTTATACTTCCTTCTTTCTTGACTCTTATAAAACCATTTAACTCTTTCTTGAATCGCAGCCTCCTGCCGACCTTTATTATCGATAGATTCACTACCCCGAACGTCAGCTTACGATTCCGCCTATTTAATATGCTCTCTCATGTTTTTTTTTCTTTTTCTTTTTCTTTTCTGGACAACAAAAACAAAACTTATGTTTATTTATGCATGTTTGCTGTAGTATTCTGACATGGTCTTTTGCCTTGAGGGCATTTCTATTGGCCTTTTTTACAAACTAAAAATGAGTTGATCTTGTTTCTTAACTTTTAAGGGAAATTTTCATACTAATAGATTATTTTAAATCATTAATTTTACAACGTACGCATATACAAGACAGACGTGGTGTCAAGGTTCCGTTCCAAAATTAATGTAGCCCAGATTAATGTATTCGAAAATCTTCAACAATCTATTGCAAACCTCCAACAACAAAGTAGGAGTATATCAAATAAACGTTTAATTATAGTAAACTTCGAACGAACCAGCTTTGGTGTGCACAATATGAAAAGGAAATATATTTTTTTGAGTCAATTTGGGCCGGTTCGAAATACAAATTTAACTTAAAGGACGGATCGCGTTTGGTTTGTATAATTAAAAAGTAAAAATTGTTTCCCGGGTTGACTTGGGCCGATTTGTAAAATATATGTTTACTATATATACAGAATAATTTATTTATTTTTATTCATTATTTTAGAGTTTAGAGTACCACTAGAGTAATACACAACTGCACAATAGAATTTGGAACTAAAAAATATAATGAACCATTGAAGATAGTCTTAGATCTAGAAACTTTTATCTATACTAGTAAAACATGATTACTAATTGAACTTAATAATGATTTATAATATTCTCGAAATCAAGTCCTTATATTAATTACTAGGGTAAACCCACCCTACGGGCGGGTGAATAAATAAACTATTAGTACAAATTTATTTAAAATATTTGATTTATTTTAACAAAAAGTAGCATTAACATAAAATATTTTACAATTTATTTTACTATACATTTAAAGTTATAACTATTTTTCTTCATTGTTTATTTTAGTTTAACTATAACAATAAGTCAATAAATGTTTTATTATATAGTGAGATTATTTTTGCGCAGTTAAAATTTTTTCATGAATTAAATTATTTTTACACATTGTTTTCTAAAACTAATGATATACTGTATACATGATATAAAAATAACTTATTCATTATAACTAAATTATTTAAGATAGCTAAAATGAAAATATCATTGCTATTTATACATATACATGTTTGTTAGAATCTTATAGGTATTATTATATATCAACATTATTGATTAAACTTTTAAATATATATTACTGACTAACTTATAAAATATAATCCTTACAAAATTTTATTGTACGTAATTAAATTATTACATATGGACAGTTTATTGTTGAATAAAATTATCTCTTTCATTTCTATATATATATATAGTTAAATTATATAACAGGACTATTATAATGAACTGACATACATGTAAATGTAGATGATGAATACAATTCTTCCTAGAAATGGTTGTGTGATGTTAAATAGTTTATTGTCGAATAAAATTATTTCTTTTTTATTTAGAAATCCATAGCAAGAAATCTTAGAGAAGACAGACATAATTGGTCTACTTCATTGCCTCTTAACCAAACTTTTGATGAGTACTGATGCAGTTCAAGAATCTCACCGGCCATTTTAGATAGAGTTTTGCGGAGTTTTCTAATCATTGTTTAGTTTATGTATTATACACATCTTTTTTATGAGAGGATTTATAAACTTAGAACACTAAATAAGAAATCCAAAATTATTTATTGATCCCAAAGTTAAAAAATAATGTCACCAAGCTTTCTATAAAGTTATAAGAATACAGATAAAAAATATGTAAGACCAAACTGAGGTTAGGCCATGATCTAGACGATAGAAAATAATTACCACAAAGAAATAGCAACTCGGGTGTTTGTCACTAACTAATATGATAGATAAAAGCTAAGAGTTGAAAAAGATTTTCCCGTTAATCAGAAAATGAAAGAATATCAAAACTGCATGATATAAAATATTTAAGCCCTAAAATTCTCTCCTTTACTAACATTCGCCATCCAACCAGAATCCTAACGACGTTTACGTTGTGCCACGTGTATCTGCTCTGATTCTGTCGCCACTGCATTTTGCTCCCTTCTTCGTGCTGCTGGCTGGCTCGCCCGATTCTTTATTACCAGGTTCTTATGTTCCTTCATGCATGTGGTTCTCATTAGTATGTTCCAGATTCGTTAGGTTGACCTGCAAAAAGAGTAATGGTGACTTCAAGATATGAAAGAAAAAATGGAGACATTTGAGGGAGAACTCTAGCTCAAAACTTCAACGCACCACAATGGCAACACTGAGCTCGCAAAATTTAGGAAAATGGAGAGATTTTTCAAGTACAGAATGCGCCAAGAAAACAGTGTTGGGTCTTTATTGCAGCAATTAAATGAATTATGTACGAAAGTGAATCAAACCAATCGATTCCATTGTGTTTTTTTTTTTTTTATTGAGAGCTTAGTTCACAAAAGGAAAAGGAAAATTCTGAAGGTGGAAATGTATTCTCACAGAGTGTAGTTGGTGCAATGGGAGGCAGATGTTTCTACGTCAGCGTTCTCTCTACAAATTGAAGCAAGCTATCAGCCTCGGTGTACTCTCAGGTCTTCCATGTTCTGGGCAGAAGTTTCTATAAATCTGAAAAATGCCAAAATAAGGTTTAAGCTCAGGAAAAGGCAGAGGTTGAAAGAAAACCAATAGGTTGGTGCAACAAATCACAAAGGACCAAATTACAGGTCATGTTTTAAACATCTTATACAAAGTTGAGTAAATAAGATGTCATGAAAACTTAAACTTGCATGCTTTGTGCGAAATATAAGATGCTCATGGAAAATCTCAATTCAGAATCATAAACCTCGTCTAGGGATTCCACTGCAGAAATCAAATTTATTATCTTTTGTTAAGACTTTAAGCTTCTTTGCTAACCGGTCGGTTCTCTAAGTTCTCACGCACACCTAAAGAAGGAGACTAACCCACAATTCGTGATGCTGTTGTATAGAGGAGTACGTGCAGAAAATCCATGACCTAAAAATACAAAAGCCATATCTTGATGATCGAAGCGCTGCAGGAGCTTTTGCTGCAGAAAACATATGAATAAAAGAGTTTAGAGACTCCCTTGACCTTAAACCGTAAACAACAATTGAAAGCACTAACTAACTTGAAGAGAAACTACTTAGCAACAATGATGGCTTCGTGAAAGAATGATTATGTCTCAAAATCATCATATGCTTCTGTAATATGCAATGCATAAACTTTATTACCCAGTTGCATTTTACAAAGTATTATCTAATTAAAACTAAACACAATCCCAAGCCTAGCAATGGCGGAAGGATGAGACACTTACATCAATGCTTAGTATGGCTGCCCTTACAACGTCCAAATGAAGTTTGGGAGGGTAGTGTACTCCTAGAAAAATGCATGGTGTTATGTTTACAGGGGTAAAAAGTTTGAGTCCACCTTAACAAAACTAATAAAGAGTTTCTTTCAATTCTCATAACATGAAGACAACATACTGCTTACGGTCATGCTCAGGAAGAAGAAAAAATGAATTCCAACATACTGCTTACGGTCATAAGTGAGTCCTTTCTAATAGAGAATGTAACATTATAATTAAAAACCCAGCATTCATACATACCAACGATATTACTGCTCCATCAAGAAGCACTGAGTCATATACCAAGCTATTTTCTTCTACCAAGCTCGGTTTATAGGAAGGAATGAGCGGGGAACTTCTATAGGGAGATAAAACACTGAGTCACCACGGCATTGATAAACCCTGAACATACATGAAATAGACACAACAATCATCAAACTCTAGAAGATATTTCAGTGAAAAAAGTTTAACATAAACTCTCTGTTAAAGAAACTAACTTTGTATTATGGATTCAAGACGGTTTATAAGAAATAAATTTATAGTATGGATTCAGTACGGCGGAAAGGTATAAAGCATTTGACCGGTGGAATAAATTTGTTTATGAACAGAAGTGGGGTTAAAGAAAAGACCTGAGAATCCAGTAGCAGCATATCCACACCAATCAGTTTTATATTCTCGAACCTTTAGTTATAAAGAACATCAATCAGTTTTATATATACCTCCAAAACGTAAACATATCTCTCATTTGCCACATGTTCATTTGGTTGTAAAGCAATAGGGTACCACTAAATATGATACAGAAACCAGAAAAGCTTCACTTTTTTCGAAGGTTATCCAGCCTTGCCTGAAGATCACTAAATATTCTCCCACCGTCCCAAGCTCCGGCCGCCTCAACTTGCACCACCTTGTTCTTTGCTACTGGTGCTGCCACCGCACCAGATGGAGCATTCACCAGCTGAAATACCAACAAACCAGTTAAGCATTTTATAGGTGGAAACTGAGAATAAGGGAATTGCAATATAGGCTTTATTCACAAATCGTAACTTGATGAATATAACGGTGAAAGCAGCCAGTAATCAGTCAAGATTCTATTTCGTTTTTTTTGTTTAATGGATATGTAAAAGGAATACCTCCTGGTTGATATCGATACTGATACCGATCTCGTCAAGGTCTCTTGCTCTTCCTCATCTCCTTCCAAAGAATCATCAATTGAAACTCCCATGACCTCAGAGACTCTTGCACGATTTCCTGAAACTCTTGCACGATTTCCTGAAGAGAAGGAAGATTCATATGCCTGGTCATTTGACCAATCGCTTTAGTTAAACCTTTCATTGCCTCACCCATTTCTTGTGTGATTTCAGAGTCTCAAATAACCCAAAATAATATTTATTTTGTTTGTAGAAGAATAAGAATAGATTGAACAACTTGCACTACTAATTTTTTTTTGGTGTTTCTGGAAACGAAAATAACCAAAGCCAAGAAGTCAAGCATACCTGGATCCTGAGAGAATTGAGCTGTAAACCTTCTCAATCTGGTGCCGTGTTCTGATAAGGTCCTTTGGAATCACTTACACAGCTCCCTTGGTAAACCAAATCAATTATAGTCAAAATTGTGAAATAGCACAATCTATTGAATCAAAGCTCACTAAAAAATAAGGCATAAGCCAACCAAACACATCATTATAGCACACATTGAAATACTCCTAACAAATAAATTTCTAACACATACATTTAACGAAGGATACAAAAGAGCTAAAGACTATTGTGAAATATATAAGCAGAAACAAACAAACAAACCATCTGTCCCTGCTTTGCGGTTTTTTTAATCTCAGTGATAAGTTTCTTCTCTTGTGTTAGGCGTTGCCTCTCCCTCTCAATCTCTATGATTGACTTTTCAAGCATCCTCTTGTTTTCCCGCAGAAGTTCTGAAACACCAAAACCAATTTTTTTAAAAACAAACATCATCAGCCGAAAGATATATCCCAACAAAAATAGAAATCAAACAATTTCAATCGAAAGTTCCAATAAAAAAAATCCAATTTTTTTCACAAAAGAGACAGAAGATTGGAAGAGGATTTGGATCCGACCTTCCAAAAACGGAATTTGTCATGATCAAATCTCAAAAGAGGATTTGTCGGAATTCGAATCAGCCACGATCAGAGTTGAAAACAATATCTCATTATGAAACTTGTTTTTGGTCAGGAAACGCTGATAATCAGCCTCTGTATATATAGGAGGATGGAGAAGACTTACTGGAGAAGAAGGCGTCTCGTCGGCATTGAAGGATTGTAGAGTCGAAGAGATGGATCTATTGAACGATTCACCGAAATAGGAATCGCCATCAACCGCCAAACCATCTCGAAGGATACTCCTAGGTTTCTACACTTGTTTACATGCCGAAAATTTATAAAAACATATACCGACCAAAAAAAATAGAAATCGAAGATGTTTAGTGACCTTTCTTGACTTGATAGAAGAGGAGTGGTTTTCAAGATGCAAGCTCCTCCCAATCCTTTGATAATTTATAGACTTTACATGGAGGAGTTGAAGAGGTTGACATCGTCTGAAGCTTTAATGGGAATAATAAAGATTGGAGAAGTGAGGAGATGCGATGATGAAATCAATGGGGGAGGTTCGTTTGATCGATTAGGGAGTTCAAGAGATTTCAACGGAGTAGGGGAGTCGCGTCTCAGAGATAGACGGTGATAAGGAAAATGATTTTATGACATCACAATGTGACGTGGACTAAGGAGAAGAGAGTAGAGTTCTTCTTTATATATAAAGATGCATGTTAATATGATGTCTACCAACTTAATTATTTAACATAATATTTAAATGAAAGAATAAAAAATATATATATATATATATTCCATACAGATTTTTTCTAGATTGTAATTTAATAATATCAAAGTATTACAACATTATACATATCTAAATAACTAGATTCTGTAATTATTATTAAGTATTATATTAATTTAGTTTGTACTTACATAAAGAATATAAAAGTTATAATATTATATATATATACTTGTTACTCTATTAAATATTATATTAAATAATAAAATATAGTTTAATAACTTAGTGTAATAATTAATTTGTAAATTAATCAAAGTACATGTACACACAAATAACATTAGATTTTACAATATACTCAATTTCTATAAGTAGTATAAAGTAAATGTTAAATTAAAGATAGTTAATCATAGTTTATTAAATATTTTTTTGTGAGAATTTAGATAGTATTACCTTATAAAATAAATATTTAAAATTAATTAATTTTTATATTATTTTGTAATATAGTGGAACATGTTACACTTGATACTTTTAGGATTATAGATTTTTATTGGTTATATCATCAATTATGCAATTTATTAACTGAATAGGATAAATTTTTAACAAATACATTATTAACTCATTTCTATTATTATTTTTCTAAAAAAAATTGACCAATGCAACACATTTTAAGAGATATATTTGTCCGTTGTGAATAGACGAATTATTTTCTTGTTATTGTTAATAGTTATATTTATATTTAACTCTAATTTGATTATAAAATACTAAAAACACAAATGAAATATCACTGTCGTCTCATAACTTGGAGGTGGCCTACAATTATATAAATCTTATGATTAATAGTAACACAAAAGTCCATAAACTCACTTGTATATAGTTAAAACAAAAAATATTTTGAACAAGAAAGGGATCAAACAAGGGTATACTAACTCAAAGTCAAATTAGTTAACCATTAGACCAAACCAACATTATATAGTGTGGCCCTACAATATCTTGATAAAAAAAATCAGTATTTCAATATATTTTTTTTTTTGTAACACGTGATTGTAGAGGCTCAAGAGAATATGTATGTTGTTTGGAGTTTGATTCAAAAACAGGATTGTCATTTTGCCTTATAAATATATGAATACCTTTGTTGTATGATATTGTTCAGTACAAATCTAATTTATGTTGACTTGCTTTTCAGAATACACTTAAACCAAAAAAGGAATTCAGTATAAACTGAATTTGAACTAAACTGAATCTCACTACACCAATGTTCTACCGGTGTATGCGGTGTCTAAGCGCCGGCTTATGTGGTAAAGGATTATAGTTATAACTATTTCTTATAAATGTGATTTATGTTATTCAAATTAGTTTAACTACGGTTAACATTGGTCTAATTGATCTAAAAATTGTTCCAAATCTGTTAGGTAAGCAGCAATGTTAGTGCAAATCCATAAATTTATTTATTTTATATCAAATTTTATACTTCATTAAAATATTTTTGTATTTGAACACAAAAAACTAAAATATCTCATATCAATATAAAATATGGAAATATATTAATATTTTTAATGTCTAGGTCTCGTCTAGATCTCAAATAATCCGTCTAATAATTATTCCTCTATTTAGTTGAAAAAAATCTTAATAATATACATTTCTTTCCTTAATATAAACTTTTACAATATTTATATTTTTTTATAAGTATTAAAAATTAGATTTAACTGACTACCACATGTCAAAATATAAATACAATTGATTAAAGCGTCATTAATGCTATGAAATAAATACATTGAACTTTCAATAGTTTTATAGTAGTAACATAGTAAACACCTAATGAGTGGAAAAAAGTTGAAGAAATTTTAATAAAGACATAGTACAAAACATAGAAAAACTAAAGAACTTGCTCAAATTGGAGGGAAGATAAGCTTATATATATATATATATATATGTTAGCTTATATAATTCTCCAAAACTCACAATATTTCCTCTCGATTTCGTGATTTCTTAATCTGTTTTGGGAATTATGGCTGCGAATGCATGGACAATAGAAGAGAACGAGGAGCTGAAGAACGCAGTGCAGTGGTACCCTGCGTATTTACCCAATCGGTTCGAGTGTATTGCCCGGTGTCTAGGGAAATCGGTGGTCGATGTTATGAAGCATTACCAGGATATGGTCGATGATCTTCTAGAGACCAGAACGAGTCCAATAGATTTTCCTTATTGGATGATTTATGGAATTAAGCCGAGTTGGGACAAAGAAGAACATGAGTAAGTATACAATATAATGAGTAAAGGTTTTCCACAGTTGATGAAATCTACATCAATGCGACTAACCCATTCTCTCCTTAGCTGCTACGAAATTTGCATAGTGATACGTGATAACATATTAATCATAGAAACCATAAGTTTTGTTTTTCTTTTAAACTCATTTGAATTGTCATTAAATAATTGCATGGTGGTGAAACATGATTGAATCTGTAAAAAAAAAAAACACAATTAATGCAGATGGTTCCTGATCGGGTTAAGGCGGTTTGGGAGAGATCTTTACAACGTAGCGGTCTTAGTGGGTACCAAAACCCCGATGCAAGTGGAGATGTATGCACGTGGCTTCTTCACTTGGCACAATTCAGAGAACAATGTAATGAACCGGCGGAGAACCATTGAGATAACTATGGGGGACACCAGCGTTGACTCATGTAGCCAACAAGAGAGCCTCGTTCCTTTGCAGCCGCAACCACAGCAAGGGCCAGTTGCGCTGGAAACCGGTCCACATGGTAGCATTTCTGATTCTGAATCGAACAATCGTCCATACGCGTAAACCAGAGGATAAAATTTCGTTCTGAAACTAATTTAAGCTAAAGGACTTTACTGCATATATTGGATTTTATTTTGTGAATTTTTCCTTTTATATAAACCTGTAGTTATATAGTTATGATTGTTGAATCTGAGTTCAGTTTATTATAATATATATAATTTTGAGGTTAAAAAACAAAGACAAAGGGAGTATAATAGGGGGATTAGATATACGCAATAAAATATAATTAGGGGTCTATTCACTAAATTAAAGAAAATAGTGAATCTTGGGATTTCCCCTATTATTTTTCATTATAAATCATAGAGAAAAAGAAGGGAAAACCCTCGAGAGATATCAGGTTCCTTTTGTTTTTGGAGATAAGATTTTCCCCAAACAATTTGGTTGTTGTTTCTATCAAATTGAAGAGACTATCGCCGTCCATCTTGAGGTATCGCTTGAAGAGGTGAAGCACTATTACGAAGCTTTTGGTCAAAGATATTAACCTTATCGAATCGGGCCTATTTGCTACTATTAATTCTGAGTATTGGATCCCAATCCCATCCCCGAGTAAACACATGGAGGAAAAAAAAAGAGAGGAAAACCTTGGACAGAAGAGGAACACAGGTCAGTCTTGACACTAATGATTTAGGGTTTATGTTGATTGGTAAGAAAGTATGAATTAACAATTTTCAAATTTTGATTTAGGTTAGGAGAAAGTTGATAAACGGATGATGAACTGTTAGGGTTTTGTTTGTTAGGTAAGCACATCAACATGGATAGAGTATACCATTATTTGTTACTCATTTAGTTTAGATTTACGTTTTTGTATTAGATTATGTGGTTCCTGATTTTGTATAACCTTTATAGCTATATAAATATAAATCATAGCTGAGGGTTAACAGAGAAACTTCAACAACTTTTATACATTGTTTGCAAACTTGGTTAGGACTTTGGTTGATTATGTTAATGATTATTTCAGGCATTTTCTGAATGGACTAGCGAAATATGGAAGAGGAGACTGGAAGCACATATCTAGAAAGAGTGTGATGACAAGGACACCAATGCAAGTCGCAAGCCATGCACAAAAGTATTTCCTGAGGCAAGATGTCGAGGAGAAGGCAAAGAAACGCTCCAGTATCCATAACATAACTTTGATAGATCATGCTGCTAACAATGTAAACACACCTCAATCCGACTTGGAGTACTCTACGCTGGGCCAGCCACCTTCTGATCAGTAGGTGCCTGCCTCAAGAGTCAAGACCATCATCAATTCGATGAAGAGTTTTGGACTTCGGCGATGAATATGTAAATTCCAAATTACTTTAAATTTTTAATTAATTGGCTTTTGGTTCTTAGTGTTTTTTGGTAGATCAAAGTTATTAAACAATCCTAAATTGTTTATAGCCTTCGATACTTTTGTCTAACCAGAATTTTCGGAATCTTGTTCATTCTTGAGTGTGCTTAAAAAATCTTGATGTTGAAACACTTTCGACCCGATGTAATTTCCACTCTGTAAATATGAGTAAATTATTCTCGAGCGATGAAAGAGGAAAAGCTCATATCTCTTTTGATAACTGCTAATCCATGAAAAACAACGGTTTAAAAAAAATTCTGTTTAATTGAAATTTGTTACTATATACGTGAAAGGCTCTTTTTGCTGTTGGGGACTGGGAGTAAAATTAGCCATTCACCTTTAGTCAACCATCCCGTTTTATGTACTTAGAGTAACAGAAACTCATCAACGCTGATCTGATCATGATCAATGCCTTCCTTCCTAAAAGTTTTCGGAATTTTTGGATGGATTGAAAACAATGATGGCTAGGTCCTACCACGTAGTAAATCCAGTGATCAAGATAATCTTCTTTTGAATCACAAGCAGAAGGATGTTTAGCTGATCGGTCTACCTGACCGCTTGTTCGAGGATTAACTTCTTCACGCTGAGATTTCTGACTGTTTTAGCTAGATCATTCGAGATGGTTAACACGGTCATGGGCACGGTTCTTAATAACAAGTCCCATGTGTACCTTCCAGCATGTTGCTAGGAGGGCTTACATAAACTGAATCCACAAAAAAAAAACATTTCAGTATAAACTGAATTTGTACTAAACTGAATCTGACAATACCAATTTTCTAAAAACCGGTGTAAGAATTGTTGAGGCGCTCGCTTAGGCGGTAAATCACTTATAGCGGCAATAAATTTTAATAAATTAAGTTATGCTATTCAAATCAGTTAAAGTTATTCTAAATTGGTTAAATTTGTCTAAATCAATCTAAATTGTTCTAACTGTGTTTAGTCAAACAATAAGGTTAATTAGTGCAAATCCATAAATTTGTCTTTTTTTTTGTAAGTACATCTAACATTTATGATTTATCAAAATAATTTTATAATTAAACACATTGTTATCAATATTTGTTAACGTCTACGCTTTGCTTAGACCTCGAATAATCCGTCTAATCGCTAGTTCTGTATTTAGGTAGAAAATCTTAATAGGATTTTTTTCCTTGTTATAAAATTTTATAATATATTTATTTTGTAAGTATTTTTTGTCAACATATTTATTTTGTAAATATTAAAAAAATATGTTTAAGTGACTGCCACATCTCAGAATATAACTAATTTATACATGTGTCATAATTTAATTGATTAAAATGTCATTAATGCTATGAAATAAATACATTGAACTTCAATAGTTGTATAGTAGTAACATGGTAAATAACTAAAGAGTTATTCTTAGGTTCACCAACCAATAGGATAGTGTTATTTCATATTTGATATCTTTCTAAAAAGGAAATAAAATATTGTTAAGTTATATTTTATTTCCTTATAAAATAAAAATACAAAAATGTAAAAAAATTTGTTTTTATTTTACAGATATATTAAAAGATTTTTTTTTAAATTGTTTTTTGAAATTATTACTATTTTATTTTATTTTTATCTTTTTATTTTAAAAACATAATATAATGTTAAAATATTTTTTAAAGAATTTATTTTCGTTTTTTGTAAGTATTATTATTTTTTTTTTCTATTTTTATTTTGAAAACATAATATAACTTGACAAGATTTTGTTTCCTTTTTAAAAAGATATCAAATATGAAATAACACAATGCTATTGGTTGATGAACCTAGAGTTCAACATAGGGGATGAACCCAAGAATAATTCATAACTAAATGAGAGGAAAAAAAGTCCAAAGCCAAAATTTTAATGACAACACAACATTGCAAAACTAAAGAACTTGACCAAATTACAGAGAAGATAAGCCTATATATATAGGAGGATGTTAGCTAAGTTGGTAATTCATCACATGCATAATATAATTCTCCAAAACTCACAATATTTCATCTCGATTTTCGTGATTTCTTAATCTGTTTTGGCAACAATGGCTGCGAGTGCATGGACCAAAGAGGAGAACGAGAAGTTGAAGAAAGCAGTGCAGTGGTTCCCTGCGTATTTACCCAATCGGTTCGAGTTTATAGCCCGGTGTCTAGGGAAATCGGTGGTCGATGTTATGGAGCATTACCAGGATATGGTCGATGATCTTCTAGAGACCAGATCGAGTCCAATAGCTTTTGCTGATTGGATGATTTATGGAATTGAGCCGAGTTGGTGCCGGATCCCGAGACAAATATGGGACAAACAAGAACATGAGTAAGTATACAATATAATGAGTAAAGGTTTTTCATAGTTTATGAAATCCACATTTTCATGCAAGTATGAGTTTATAATATGATTTTATACTATAACATTGATGAATATATGTGTTTCAAAAAAAAAAAAAAAAAAAAAACATTGATGAATATATAGCGGTGTTATTTCATGGATTTATGTTTGGAATCAATACGACTAGCACATTCTCTTTATGGCCATAGGCTTTTTTTCTTTTAATCTTATTTGAATCCTTTATGCCATTAAATAATATAAATGGTGGTGAAACATGATTGAAAGCGGATTGATCTCACACTAATAACGAATTTGAATCTGAAAAAAAACACAATGCAGATGGTTCCTGATCGGGTTAAGGCGGTTTGGGAGAGATTATGACAACATAGCTGCCTTATTGGTTACCAAAACTCCTATGCAAGTGGCGATCTATGCATGTAACTTCTTCACTTGGCACAACTCAAAGAACAATAATGTAACGATGCAGCGGAGAACCATCGAGATAACTATGGGGGCTGGCCAACAGGAGAGGCTCGTTCCTTTGCAGCCGCAACCACCGCAAGGGCTAGTTGCGCTGGAATCCGGTCAGCATGGTGGCATTTCTGATTCTGAATCGAACAATCGTCCATAAACCAGCAAATAAAATTTCGTTGTGAAACTATTTAAAGCTAAAAGACTTTTATTGCATATTGTATTTTATTTTCTGAATTTTCCTTTTATATAAACCTATGGTCATATATTTCTGATTGTTGAATCTGAATTCCATTTTATCATAATTACGAAATTAATTGATGCTTTATTTAACAAACATATTTTAAAATTTTGAGTATGATTTTGTTAGATTCTTTCTTAACATATATTCTGCTATAAATAAAAAATGAAATAGATATATTATGACTTTTGTACAGTAGATAATAACGAGTCTATTTTAATAGAGTAGATATAATCAATACCATTAAAACATATACATTTTTTTTTAATGAATGATTTATTTTTCCAAATTTACCCTTAATCTTATGAACAAACTTAATCTTTCATTACTGGCAATTTTTTCATTTCTTTTAGGACCTAAAAACTATATATTAATGGGTTTCATTAATTGACTCAATTCACTTTTTAATTTTTTCTAAAAAATTTAAAAAATAAACACATCAACCTTAATTGACGTAGTTAGAGAATTTTGATATTAGTCCGTGAGTCTCCCCGTTTGACCCGCCACGGAACGGGTCGATCGATTTGAAAAAATTAAGTTGCGGATCAAGTGTATTTTACACGGAACGAGTGCCGATTGTTCTAATTTCAATTGCGGGTACCCGGTAATCCGAAAAAATGGAAAAAAAATTTTAAAAGGTTTATTTTTCAAAAAATACGAAACTTCGTTAAAATAATTATTATATTTGAAATATTAAAAATTTAATTAAAAATATATTATTTAATAATAAAATAATTATTTTTATTATTTTATAATTATATGCGGGTTCTGCGGATTATTCGTAAAATTAAGTGGGACGGATGCAGATAAAATATATTTTCTTTGTGGGTCAGGTGGGTCATACAAGGCGAGTTTGACCCACTCCTCAGCACCAGACGTAGTTAATTGATATTATTTTCCATAGTAAAACTACACAACTACATACAATATATTTACATAGATATTGATGATAACAATAAATTAAAATCTGTATTAATTTTAAAAAATTATATTAGATAATGACATTTTATATCATCAAAACAAACAAATTATCGATACATCCGTAGATAAAACAACAAAAATAGTATCCGCGCTTAAAAAACGTGGGCCAAAAATCTAGTTTGAGCTTAAAAAACAAAGACGAAAGGAAGTATAATTAATAGGGGGTTGGAGACTGATTAAAATAATTCGAGTCTATTCACTAAATTAAAGAAAATACGAGGGTGAATCTTGCGATTTCCCCTATTATTTTCAATATAAAGATAAAAAGAAGGGAAAACCCTCGAGAGATATATCAGGTTCCTTTTGTTTTAGGAGATAAGACTTTTCCCCAAACAATTTGGTTGTTGCTTCTATCATATACTATGGATTGGAAGCAGTGGACGAGGGATGATGACAAACTGTTTGAGAGACTTCTGTTGGTATTCCCTGAGAATACTCCGAATAGGTTTGAGATTATCGCCGCCCATCTTAAGGTATCGCTTGAAGAGGTGAAGCACTACTACGAAGCTTTGGTCAACGATATTAACCTTATCGAATCGGGTCGATATGGTACTATTAATTATGAGTATCTGATCCCAATTCCATCCCAGACTGAACACATGGAGAAAGAAGAAAAGTATTTGATACCATCCAAGACTAAAGACATGGAGAAAGAAAAAAAGAGAGGAAAACCTTGGACAGAAGAGGAACACAGGTTAGTATTGACACTGTTGAATTAGGGTTTCTGTTGATTAGGGGGAAACTATGAATTAACAATTTTAAAAATTTAACTGGGGTGAAGATTTAGTTACTTTTTTAGGTTAGAAGAAAGTTGATAAACGGATGATGAACTGTTAGGGTTTTATTGGTTTGGTAAGCACATCAACATGGATATAATAATACCATATATTGTTACTTATTTAGTATCAGATCATATGGTTCCTGATTTTTTATAACCTTCATAGCTATATACATAAATCATAATTGAGGGTTAACAGAGAAACTTTTTCAATAACTTTATACATTGTTAGCAAACTTGGTTATGGACTTTGGTTGATTGTTTTAATGATTATTTCAGGAAATTTCTGGAGGGACTAGAGATATATGGGAAAGGAGACTGGAAGAACATATCTAGAATGAAAGTGATGACAAGGACCCCAACGCAAGTCGCCAGCCATTCACAAAAGTATTTCCTGAGGCAAGACGCCGAGGAGAAGGCAAAGAAACGCTCCAGTATCCATGACATAACTTTGATAGATTATGCTCCTAACAATGTAACCTCAACTCAATCCGACTTGGACTCTACGATGGGCCAGCCACCTTCTGATCACCAGGTGCCTCAAGATCATCATCAATCCAATGAAGGGTTTTGAACTTCGGCGATGAATATGTAAATTCCAAATTACGTTTATTTTTTAATTTATTGGCTTTTGGTTCTTAGTGTTTTTTATAGATCTAAATTATTAGACAATCCTGAATTGTTTATAGCCTTTGTTTAGTTCTTAGTGTTTTTTTATATATCTAAATTATTAAACAATCCTAAATTGTTTATAACCAGAATTTTCGGAACCACACTAGTCTTGTTTATTCTTGAATGTGCATAGAAAATCTTGATGTTGAAATATAGGATCAAGAACACTTTCAAACGGACGTAATCTCCACTCTTTAACTATCACATAAATTACCCTCAAGCGATGAAAGAGGAAACTTATTTCTCGTTTGATAACTACTCAAGGATTTTGATACAGGCATACAGCCGGTGATGATCCATGAAAAGCAATGGTTGTTAAAGTGTAAATTGTTACTATACGTACGATCCTATCAAACTCTTCATAATCAGCGTAAGCTACTCCCAGTGCTCCAATTGGTGCTGAAAGATCTCAATACAATTCCTGCAAAATCAAAGGCAAAGACTCATTGAGTATAGTGCTTATGAAATTTTTTTGAAACATATATGGGATCGATCAGTGCTCCTATGTATTTCCCGAATGTATTTGATAGATATTCCAGATTTAAACTTTTTTTTTGCTTAACAACAGATTAAAACTTGTCTTTGATGTTTTATAATTTACAATCAAATTTTATATTACGACTATTAAATATAATATTATTGACCCTGTTTAACTATAAATAATTTACCAAAATCGTTCGCTTAAAACAAATAAATAAAATAATAGTAGTTTTATAAAATCGATAGTAGGGCTGTTCGTTTGGCAGCCGCAGCTACCTGCGGCTGCGGCTGCGGCTATCTTTTTAAATTCTTTTGTTCGTTTGCTTGACGCCATCTTCTGCGTCTAGACGCCGCGGTTGACGCCATCTTCTGCGTTTGACGCCGAAAAATCTAGCGTCTGTGATGCAAATGATGCGGCTAGAAAAGTAATTTACGTTTTTGCCCTTAACGTTATTTAGTATTTACAAACAAACCTAACCCTGATAGACGCAGCCGCAACTCCATTTGACGCAGATCTCCTCTTCAATCTTCATCTCCTCCCAGCCTCGATCTTCTCCATCTCCGACCAACCTCGATCTCATCTCCATCTCCGACCAACCTCGAGCTCATCTCACTCTCCGACGAAGCCTCGAGCTTCTCCGACGCACGCAGCCACGAGCTTCTCCTGATGCACGCAGCCACGAGCTCGAGCTCTCTCTCTCTCTCTCCGACGCATCGAGCTTCTCTCTCTCAACGTCTCAAGCTCTCTCCCTCGACGCCTCAAGCACTCATTCTCTCTCTCTCCGACGCATCGAGCTTCTCTCTCTCAACGCCTCAAGCTCTCTCCCTCGACGCCTCAAGCTCTCTCTCCCGTAAGCTTCCTCTCTCTCCTATATATATGTTTACGATTGATTTCTTATGGGTTTCAATCGTTTTGTATGTTGCTCTGGGTTTGTCTTTGATTTGATGTGTAGCATAAGATGATATATCAATCCGTTGAGCTGAGAGTTTAGTCAAAAGTTTGGGATAATATCTGCTGTTGTTGTAGCATGAACTGATTGCATAATATCAGAATACGTTTGGCAGTACTTATTGCATAATGGCTTCTAAATGCTTAGTCTTTCCTTTTTTTTTTGCAGGTATCAAGCTCTCTTATCTCTTATTAATGGTTTAGCTAAGCTAGTGGTCTGTGCTTTTGTGGTCTCGGACTCTCAGTTCTTTTGTGGGCAGGAGTTAAGGTAACCTTTTTCCCCTATTTAGTAATATGATTAGGTACTGGATCCATGAGTGTGGATTCTATAAAGGTTTATCCTGTTTCTTTTTTGTTGATCTGGTTTGTTCAATTTTGATTTGTCTTTCTAGTGTAAAGTTGAGTCTGATGCTCTGGTNGTGTTTATATGCTAGTAATGCTTCTTACAAGTTTGTTGTAACAATTTATTATATGGGTCAAGCCTATGTCTTGTTCTTATATGCTACTGGGTTCTTTCTACTGATGCATTTGTCTAAGCTAACTTGAGTTTTGGTGTGTGAGTAGTTTGTACATCTTTTCTCCTTGGCATATGTAACTTACAGCAAACGCACGATGTCTCAGATATGGCAAAGTTCAGATGATAGCACCCGCATTGGAACATAGACAAGTTCCCAAAACCCATCATGTCTTGTTGTGTTTATAAAGAAAGAAGCAAGAGAAGAGGACACACCAGAGTGTTGATAGGTCGTGAGAGAGAAAGAAAGAAAGACCACTTGAGTTATGAATATTAAATATTTTTGTAGACTAGATAACTCACTGTAAATTCTACAGTTTCTTATTTTCTTTATCTTAAATATTTCTTTTTGTTCTCTTATTTCTAAATAATGTTTCTTTGAATTTTTTTTAAAAAATTAGGGAATATAAATTATGTAAATAAAAGTTTAGATTCTAAATTGTAGATGTTAGTATAATATAAAGATAATTTATACATACTTTGTGAAAATGCTAGATTTACTTATAAGTAAATGACAAAATATCTTACAATGAAAATGTTGTTATTTCTGTATAATTAGATAATTTATCTTATGATTTATGACAAAAAAANATAATTTATACATACTTTGTGAAAATGCTAGATTTACTTATAAGTAAATGACAAAATATCTTACAATGAAAATGTTGTTATTTCTGTATAATTAGATAATTTATCTTATGATTTATGACAAAAAAATGTTGTTATTTTTTGTATATTTGACTAAAATTTTATTACCAATTAAAAATAAAAAAATGTTGTTAAATTTATATATTTGACTAAAATTTTATTACCAATTAAATATAATATCTTGATGGATGTAAATATATTTAAACTTCATTTTATTTATTTAAAATAAAATTTTACAAATTTAAAATATATTTTATTTATTTAAAATGTATTTTATTTATTTAAAATATGATTTTACAATTTTTTTTAAATTAAAATACGAATTAAATGAAAATAGCCGCAGCGTCTGTCAAACGAACAACATAAAATACATTCCTGCGGCTGCGTCTGGCGTCTGAGTTAATCACTTGCGTCTACGAAACGAACACCAATCAGCGGCTGAGGCTGACTCTGCGTCTGCGGCTGCGTCTACGAAACGAACAACAACTAAATGAACAAACGCAGCCGCAGCCGCAGACTCAGCCGCAGCCGCAGCCGCAGAAACCTGCGGCAACCAAACGAACAGGGCTAGTGAATTAATTTAAGAGAATTGGTCTGTATAGCCACTAAACAAGTCTATTTAGTTATATGACCAATTAACCTAACGGACCTATATACACCGTTATTCTTCTATATTAATACAATTTTATCCTTTGTTTTTACCAGCTAAACCTGCACAATAAAAATAACTTTTATTTATTTATTACAGGTAAAACTATAGATCGTGGCTTCACTTCTTCCACAACTTTATAGTATGGTCTGTTGTAGTATGATCTGTTGTTTTGTCGTCTGTGTATATTATGATATGTTGTGGATCTATTCCATGTGAAACGGGATGGAATTGAATATAAGGTTGGTTAAATTTTTGAAAGATTTTTGTTGCAATGGATGATGGTTTATATTTCCTTCACTTGGATTTATATTTCCCAAACTTGGGTTTAGTGTTTAGTGTCAATTGTTATTTTACCAATCCCCTGTTAGATTTCTATTTTATTGTAAATTAATCATGGATTTAAAACATTTAGTAGAAAAGAACCTAGTTATCCGTCTTCTGTATATAGTATGTTATTTTCTCGATCTATTCCATGCAACATGGAATGAAATTATACATAAATGCACGCTTTGTATAACGTGAGTGGTTTCTTCTCCATTATTGATCCATTGTGTAACCACCAAGATCTTTTCTTGAGTAACTTTGCCTAAAAGATACCCAACTGCAATGGCATTGAATATAAGGTTGGTTTAATTTTTGAAAGATTTGTGTTGCAAGGAATGAGAGTTTAATTTCTTTTATTTGTGTTTATATTTCCCTAACTTGGTTATTCTCTACTAAATGTTGTAAATCCATGTTTACTATTCTATTATGAATGTTTTATTTTGATCACAAATATTATTTTGTTCCATTCTATTTAGATTTAGAGTATATTTGAGTTTAGAATTTAGTGATTAGAGTTTAGGGTTTTAATATGTAGGGGTTTTGGTGGGATTAGGGATAATTAGAGTTAGGATATGTTTATTTCGGGTCTATACTATTTGATAGGATTTAGTTTATTTTGAGATCTATACTATTTTATCATATAGAATAGAAATTTGTATAACTTAATTTGTCCGTTACATAAACACCGCGTATAGTTATGTGACACAAAAACAACGACGTCACTATTTTAGAAGTTGCAACTGACAACCGTTTACGTAAATGAGCAAAACCGGAAAGAATGTGATCAAAGAACCTAACACTTAATAATGTCAAAATCATTGTTAGTTTCTTAATTTAACACTCAAACATGACTATCTAACAAATAAGCCCATTAATTTATATTGATAAAAAAACACAGAAACCATATAGGAAAAGGAAAGAAGAAGAAAAAAGTCGTATATATATTAATCTTTTAAGAGTGAGCAAACGAAAACCCTAAATAACAATCAAAGCCACACAATATTATTTTCAAGGATAATAATATTGTTTATGATAATAATATTGTAACACATTGAAGATGTTGGACCTTCCATGTGATTTGATAGAGGAGATACTTTGTCGCGTTCCGGCCACATCTCTGAGGCACTTACGATCTACTTGCAAACAATGGAACTTACTGTTCAACAACGGAAGATTCATAAGAAAACACTTGGATAAATCCCCAAAGCAGCTTATGACTCTCATGTTGAACGAGTCCAAGGTTTGTTTGATGAGCATTAATCTCAATGGAGTTCCAGAGATCACAGGCGAACTTCGCCTAGTTGATAGTTTAGTATATCGTGAGTTCGAGAGTTA